TTTCCTGTTTATGATTGGGTTTCTGGTTCCTTGTTTAAAATTCGTATTTTCATTTACTCCAAATAACCTCTCGCATTATTGCCTTTCTTGAAGTGAAATGATTTTGTAATATATGTTGTAATGGCATATCCCATACTCTCTATTGCCTATGTGGACTGACTATATCAGTAGCTATATATAGTGAGCACACGATATACCTGGTGAACTTGCTTTGGCAATTAGTTGGAGATCCATCTCCAGCTGTGCTGGTCAAACTCTGCCTTCGGGCAAAGAGGAACCCAGACGAGTCTCATCTCGGGTGGTAGACAGCTACCTGACCCCATTTTTTACGGGGTCTATTTTTTGCTCGAGCCTATATGCTCAGTTTTGCCCAGCATTAAAAAACGGCCTTGTGCCCCATACTGCCTTGCAGGGGAGGTTAGGTAAATCACCTTGCTTCGGGAATTAGTTGGAGATTCGTCTGCAGCTGTGCTGGTCAAACTCTCTGCCTCTGAGCAGATAGGATCCCCAGATGAGGCTATGTCAAAGGGCAGAGTCTCTTCTCGGGAAAACAGCTACCTGACCACATTTTATACAGGGAATTTTTGGCTGAGCCTACAGGCTCAGATACTCCATGTTAAATTTGGCCTTGAGCCACATCTGATCGTGTGGGATGGTTGGTAGATATCCTTGCTTCGAGAATTACTAGCTTGCTAACCAATTCCCTGTCTTTCAGTAGTGTATTCTTTTTTACAATAAACCTCTCTTTCTTTCATCTATGTCTGTGTTGCTGTTCCTTTCACTAGAGTATCACCTTTATCTGTTTGTAACCTTCTTTAAGGATACAACAGATTTAAAAAACAAAAAAAAATCTACTGAATTACAAACAAAAAACCATAACAAATAAAAGAAACCACATCACTTGAAGACTCAATATGTTGATTTTTGACACTATTTCAAATAAAAAAAGTTAGGAAGGAAGACTCCCATCAATACTGGAAAAAGCAATAAAAGTGGACTTGAGAAACTTATTTTCCATTTTCCTGAAAAACTGATTTAATAGAAAAATTTTATAAATTTCAACTGACAATAGCTCTGTTCAGTCAATGAATGCCAAATGTTTCCTTATAAGGAAACAACTGATATTACCATTACATGCTCCTGAAGTACTAATAATTAAAGATGTAAATGTCATCCTTACAGTCCACAATCTTCAAAGTATCTCAACTATGTTCTAGTTAGCTCTATGATTCACTGATAGGACACAGCAAATATTTCAAAGACTTTTCATATGCCAATAACAATTAGATTTTGCAAGTTATGGCTTGATTAGTGAGGTCAGTATAAGAGAGGCAGGCTTTTCCACACTGACTTCAAAAGAGATTTTGACATCCAATAAGGGTTCAAAATTTTGTTGAACTGCTTATTTTCTCCTGCTATTTTTCTACAGTTTGACTTGTTGTAATGAGCAGAAAATATGTGAAACTCAATTTTAGAGAGAAATTCAATCAACCATTTTGTTCTTCACCTTGAAAGACTTGTTCACAATGACAAATTAACCTCAATGTTAATGATGAAATTACTCCAGTGTACTTTTAGAATGGTGCAGAAGCAAAGAACAGCTGATCAACACCTGAAAGCAAAGTTGCTAGATTGGACTACTATCAAATGCGCAGTACAACAAGATTTTTGAATTTCACTACCTGCAACTTTTGAGGCTACTTTTCAAATATACACTAGCTTAACTGGGGCTACTGACGAAAAGAAAGTTAATGCAAAGTTTTTTAGTACAGAGCTTTCAAATGTAAATCAATTTGATAATCATATTTAAAACAGCATTAAAAAAATATCAAGAACAATTTCTATCTTTATTTGTACAATTTTTCACAACTTTTATTAGTGACATGGCTTCCCTCTGTCTTTTCTAGAAATATTTTCATGTCAATTGTTGAGATGAGCTTTCCTTCTTGGTGCTTCAACTGCATGGATTTAAGCAAAGCTACTGGATTGGTAACTAGATCTCACCATTTTACTGTTGAACTAGCGAGATGCAACTATATTTTCTACTGTAACAGTTTCCATTCTTTGAACTTCTTGCTTGTGAAACTCCTTTTCAATTTCTTGCCACTGCCAATCTTCAAATATTTAAATGCAACACCAATCACCATTTTCTGTCTTCTTGAATCTGTTCTTTTATTTCCCTTTCTCCTCACTAATGTCTTTATATTCTTTCCCTCCCGGTATCCACTTGTGTCTTAGTGGCATTATCGCCTTGCTTGGGGTGAAAAGTAAAATAATTCAATACTGGACAAATTTTTTCATGGTCTTCATTTGAATTTTTAAACACATACATTTCCTGTTCATAAAAAGCATCTATATAAGTGTATCTACAAAGTTTTTATGAAAATTTAGTATAACAGGCATACAGATAGTTTATGGAGTTAAAATATACATAGTCATGTATGAATAAAGAAAAATCACAACCTTTTAGTGTTCACTGTTTCACTCAGGAACATATTTAAAGACATTTTTTTTTATACCAGATGAGTATCACTTGATTATTTTATTAGCAATATACATGGAAAAGATTAAAATACAATACATGCTTACACATTGTGCCAAAATACATTTGCTAATCTGGTATAAAAAAATAAAATAGGTCTTCAGATATATTCCACTAGTAGAACAATGAGCACTAAAATGGTTAACAATATTCTTTTTGTTTTTTTGACGTTTTTTTTTTAATCATTTCACCACAAGCAAACCAATAACGCCACTAAGACGCAAGGGAGTTACTGAGAATGAAACGAAATAAGCAAACATTAGTGAGGAAACAGGACAGTAAAAGAATAGGATTTAGCAAGACAGAAAATGGTGACTGACATTGCATTTAAATTTCTGAAGATTACAATTGACAGAAAAGCAAAAAAGCAGAAGAAAGTTCCACAGGCAAGAGGTACCAGAGAAGAAACTATTTTTTTTTTTTTTTAATCATTTCACTCCAAGCAAGGCGATAGTGCCACTAGTATGCAGGGGGTCACAGAGAGTGAAAGTGAGAGAAAAGACTAGGTATACGCGGGGATTGAGGAAAGGATAAAAGATGAACGGGTTTCATTTCAACAAAAGATAGTGATTGACATTGCAATTAAATTTTTGAAGATTGTAGTTATCAAGGAAGCAAGTAAGCAGAAAGGAGTTCCACTGTCAGGAAATGCAAGAAAAGAAACTTGACAGTTACATTTAACTATTTCAACAGTAAATGGGTGGGACCTAAATGGCATTCTAGTAGCACATTTAAATTCATGTAGCTGGGGCACCAGGGAAAAAAAGCTCATCAGAGCAGTTGCCATGACAATATTTGTAGAAAAATCAGAGGGAAGCTACATCACGTCGGTGAGAAAGTGACTGAAGTTGTGATGCCAAGTCACGATCAATTACATTGCTGATCTTTCATCAGATTTTTTCAAGAACCTTCAGATGAACAGCAAGGGCAGCAGACCAGATATGGCAACAGTATTAAATACACGGACAAATGGTAGATTTGTAAATGTGCAAGATTGACACAAAAAACCTTCTGACACGACACAATGAACCGACTTTCCTTACAGTAGATACAGCTATTGATTCAATGTAGTTGTTCCATTTCAAGTCAGTTGAAAACATAAGGCTGAGAAGGTGCAGTGAGACGCTCTCCTGAAGTCGAGAGTCAGCCATGCTGATAGCAGGCAGGGAAGTTTCTCTATGGTGGTTAAATGAGAGTAGTTTCGTTTTGAAGGCATTAAAATTTACAAGCCATTTTCTGCCCCATTTAACTACTGATTGGAGATCCTTTTCAAAAGCAGAGGCCAGGTTAACTTTGTCAACTCTCACAGATTTGCTATTGAGACAGGAGTAAATGGTAGTTTCATCTGCATAAATGCCTACTTGAGAGCTGATAACGTGAGGAAGATCATTGAAGATCAGAAACAGCAGAAAACACATTATAGAGACTTGAGAGACACCCGCATTGATGTGAAAGGGTCTGCAAACAAGCCTGTTCAAAACGACCTTCTTTTCACAATTTGATGGGAATGATTGGATTAAATCAGTCATTCTGTAATACTGTAGCCTTGAAGCTTATGTACAAGACCAGCATACCAAATCCTGTTAAATACCTTTGAGATATCTACAGCTACAGCTCGAGCTTTGCCATTATTATGAAGAGTTTGATATACATAATCAGTGATGACCATAAACATCAGTGGTAGACCAAGCAAAACGGTATCCATATAGTTTATTAGAATAATACTTACGGTTACATCTAGCAACTTCAACAGTAAAATGAGGAGACTGCATTGCCAATCTAATCGGTTAAGTGCCATTCGTAATACACGGTTTGGCGATCATGTTTCTTTCAATTCATGACTGACTAGGCAGAAAACTTTTTCCACAGCAGGCTGCCATTTCTTTCTGCAGTAGACTGGTAGCCAACCAAGGCTCCAGGACCTTGTCCTACTATTCATCCCATAGCTGTGAGGAGTAAAATGGATTCATACCTTTCCCAAGAGTATTTGCATGTAATGAACCTGACTGCAATTCGAACTCAGCTCTTTGATTTCTCACTTATGAGCCATTATCCATTACACCACACCACACCACACATCTGGCCAATTTAGTACTATGCTTAAATTCATGAGGACAAGGTACCAAAAAGGAAAACACATTATCTTCTGTTATTGGGCAGGCAACAACGATTATAATTTGAACTATAACTGTTGTCACCTACTCAATAACCATTAGGATAATACCATAAACCAGAAAAAATACCTAAACTTGCTAGGTATAATGTCCCACTTGCCAGCATATATAGTCAAGCCAACACACATGGCCTGAAGATTGCATTCAAGCATGAGACAGACTGTCACCACTCAGTTAATTTCAGTGTCCACTTAACAACCAATGGTAACATCTCATTCTGTGTGGCATTATTTTCATTTATGTAGGTATAGATATAAACAATGAAAGAATATGGAAGAACTTACCTAAAACAAAAACAACATCTGGACTATGAATCGACATACTGGTTTGAAATATTCTTTGCATTTGCCACTCTCTGCAAAGAAAAAAAATGAAATGAAAAAATATTAAAAAAAATAAAATCAATCAGTTTGACTTGTTGGCTTCAAAATGTTAAAAAAAAAAAAAAAAAAAAAAAAAAAAAAAAATCACAAAAAGTTTGTTTTGCGAATTTGCAATTTTAAGAGTAAAGAGTAACAGTGAACCATACCTTCAAATCCCTATTTACCACTTATATACCAGAGTTCATAAATAACTATCCAGGTTCCCATCTTGAATAATAACCAGTTATTAATAAATAAATAAATAAATATCAGTATTTATGACTTTACTTTCATGTACAAGTCAATATTGCAGGTGTGGCAAGATATTCAGTCTTTTTCACATATGATATATACATTACATTGAAATCATTTATAAACAGTTCCCATTTTTACAGATTAGTTTATATAGTTCTTAAATTAATATCTACTGCTAGTCATGCAATAAATGTTCTCTATTATTTTGCTGTATCCAATAAATACTACTTATTGTATTACACATCATCTAGATGTCTCAAGAATCAGTTTTAGTTTAGTCTACCATTATATTCTTGTTTATTGTACCTTATTTAACAACAAAGGGGCCAATATTAAGTTACAAATTTGTTTATCTCTCAAAATGAAATCAATATAACAGTTTACCCAGATTTGCATTGACTACTTTTATTTGGAATCTGTACTTTTCTTAAAATAATATGCTATTATAGGAACTGGAAACTTTTAATGCTTTTGAGTTTAACCTAAGCATGAATAAGCCATAGCAGTTCAGTAGTAGTGATATCAACCATATTTAAAGTGACACATATTAAACAGTAGTTATAAGTCACCACTGATAAGTCAGCATCAGCAGTTACATGGAGAATCTCACATCTAATTCAGTGTTGTTTATGAATCATTACACAACAAATCAGCATCTAAAGGATCAATATTTTTTTTTAACAAACATTTTTTTTTTTTAAACATCTCAAATTTTTTATCTATAAAATTACGAACCGGTAATGGCCAATGAAATATAAGAAGCCGTTCTGCAAAGTAGCGTAACTTTAATAGATAGTTTGTGTGAACCCCATCACTCTCTATAAGGAAGGCTGAATATATAAAATACAAACCAAACCCAGTAAACAAATTATTTTAAGCAATATATGTCTACATTTGTGCGTATGCAAGGAAGTGCTGAAAAGTTATAATGTACTTCCAAAAATTTGTCCAAATGACCAAGCATCAGATTTGATTTCTGGAAGGGCTTCTTGGTCAGCCTGAGAAATTTTCAGCACCCTCTCATATAAATGTTACACAAACATCAAATTTATATATTTTCCATAAAACTACAACCTCATCCTATACTGTAGGGTTAACTTGCAATTTATCAAGTCATGCCTATATTAATAAGCAGATTGCCAAACTGCAATACTTTTACTAATATACACTATAATACTTATGAACAACATACACAGAACATTAACAATAAATAAAAAAATATAACTAAAAAAAATATAACAATAAAAAAATATAACAATAAAAAAAATATAACAATAAAAAAAATATAACAATAAAAAAAATATAACAATAAAAAAAATACTTCCAATTCTTGAAGCCTGCACCATCAAATCCAGAAATCAAAAGCCAAATAAAATCTTCAGCTTAGGAACATGAATTTGGAATGTATTTAATTCAGTCCACAGGTTGCCTCTCCCCACATATCCACAATGGTAATACGAAACATAAATGACAATGGCCGAATTTAAAAAGCATTCTGAAAATGTGAACAGCTAACAGCATTCATACCTCTTCTTTTCGATAAGGGCTAAGAAATATAGTTGAAAGCCCTCAAACATATATTTGGACAATATTTAAACTTATTGGATAGACATATGCTCTCTTGTGTTTCCTCAAAAAAAAAAAAAAAATTAAACAAATCTCTTGTTTATCATCTTTAAACAGACATATATTAATGAAAGACTGTTGCCTAAATACAGCTGAAAGTATAATATGCGAAGACAGAAGCATAAGAGAGACTTCTGAGAATGAAAAAAGCCATTGTTTTCCAAAAATAAGACTTAAATCTGCCCAGTATTTTGCAAGCAAACTTTTGCTTTCTCAGAATACCTAAACAGACAAAACATTTGGCTACACAACACTAATTCAAATGTATGTAGTTTGTAATATAAAATAATGACCCAATAACAAATACAATGAGAGTCAAACATTTCACTGGTGCTTAGCAGTTGTGGTAGGCAAAAGTAAACCAGGCAATTGATTTTGCTTACTATCAAATAATGGCATTTTATGAGCTTTAAAAGAGTCTGATATTTAAGAGAACGTTTACCATCCATGGGAAAATTCTTAGCAACTATGGATTTTAGAAAAACAAATTTGGACATTTTTTTGTTGATTAAGAAGAAGAAGAATTCATAATTGGTAGAAAAGAACTAGACAAACTATATATTTTATGGGATCTTTTGATCTACTCTTCTGGGCTTGATTCATTCATTTATTTGTCTTTTACAGCTTAGCAACCCTCCTCAGTTCAATTAAATCCACAAAATATTCTTAGATTGTAGGAATTTTTTGAAGATATGATTTACTGATACAAGTCCTAGTAATTAACCCACAAGTGTGGGGAGGTGAATTCATACCTTTCCCAAGGTCATGTATTTGAAACCTGGCTCTCTGATTTCCAATTCCAAACCATTATCCATTACACAACCCACATATCTAAGCTTAAAACCAGCAGTCATCATCTAGATACTGACCAGGCTCAACTTTGAACTAGTGTTTCAGCGTGATATGGCTGTAAGCTTTGGGAACTAGCCTAATAATTGGATCATCCTAATTTATTAAATATTTAAACTTTTAACACTGTATTTCTAACCTTTCATCTCTACAATTGTTGCTTATTTCTAATGAATATCAGTTTCATCACAAATTTAAACTTTCATCAACATTTGTCTGTCCAGGGACAGGAGAAATATGGAGCAAGAGAATTGTTAACAAGTTTATCTGGTTGACTATTATTACTGAGTAGTGAGAATTAAAGTGAATAGCATGTCAGAGTTTTAAAATTGAAATTACTCATTTTCGTTAAATTTCTGGGGAGAACAAAAAAAGAAAAAAAAAAAACAAAAAAAAACTCCTTTGTTATTTCATTTGAAGATGACCGTTACATGATGGAACCAGACTGAGATCAGGACACCTACAGAGAAATGAATGGTAAATGATGTGTTTTTATAACTAATTAGGCAATAAAGTTTAACCCGTACTTGGGAAGAGAAGAGATTCAGATCTTTCCCAAGGGTATTTGTATGTAAGTCAATATGATGAATCCAACAGGAATTTGAATTCAGCTCTCTGCTTAACAATTCAAAATGATTATCTATTACACCACCCACACATCCAAGCTTATAGTACCTGCTATTCCCAATCGTTCATACATCTAGGTACTGATTAGGCTAGATGTTGCTTAACTTTGATGATCATACAGGAATCAGTGTTTCAACAGGATGTGACTATAAGCCCTTCCACTTCAAGTCAGTGTAGTATCCGTGTGCTCTGCTTAATATAGTATTTAGACAGTTTTCTCATGCTGTTCAAGCAGTAGTACACTGGCATAATGTCTATGTTGCTTGTCTACTTATTCTCACGTTAAATGTTTGACAAAGCAGCCAGTGCTACTTTCTACTGAAATTTATAACATCTTTCTATTAAAACAATTTTTCAGAAAAATATTTTTCTCATGTCCAGCATTTGTCAATGCTCTTTGCAATATTTATAGGAAGTGGGGGGGGGCTTCTATTCTGACTTTTTGTTTGAAGTAGTGTGGAATAGCAACATCTTGTGGATTCCAAATCAGATCACTCGAGTGGATAAGTCCGTTTCTGTATCCCCCAGTTTTTTTTTTAATTGAAACCAAAAGTCATTCAAAAAAAAAAATAAATAAATAAAAATAAAAATAAAAAGTATACACAAGTACGTTAATGAATCTGCAAAAATGAAAAAAATGTTTTATTTTACATAATTCATTAGAGAATATTAATTACATACATATACCGACAATCAGTCACAGTGCCAAATATCAACACTTTAAAATCGCATGGCAAGTGATGTGTAACATGTTGCAGGTGCAGGTGTTTTCATCCATTCATTATTTTCACCTGTCACTGGTCTCTAGATGTGGTTATCTAGTGTTTTAATCATCATGTATCTGCCAGGATGGGATTATTGAAGAATTCTTCTCTTCATTCTAGTGGGTGGTGATTTTCTTGACAGGAGACTTTCTCAAAAGGCAAAAAGATTATGGGTAGAAAGAATAAACACTGATATAGAAACTTTTTTTTTTTTTTTAACAATGATGTTCATGCTATACAAAGCCCAAGAGTCACTCAAGGTAGGGGTTTATAGAGTTAGAGGCACAGTTTATGTAGGGAAGATAACAGTTAACCCATAGCAAGTTAATACCATAGGCTGTCAAAAGTTACAATCATTCTAGTTGATTTTCTACCAAGATCATGAAATATTGAAAGCAACAGGGTTAGACATGTCTGTATATTGAATATTCATGCAGCTTGAGGGGAGAATACAAAGACAAAAACTGTTACCGCTGGATTCAGTTTGCACCCAAGAATTAAGCAACTGCAGGCTCTGACTTATATAGACATTTGGCCAAAGGTGGAGGTGATTGATGAATGTTATCTTCTTACTAAGAAACCAAATGGCTATGCCAAAAAGTACATTCAACCAGACATGGCCTTCCAAAAGAGCCTTCAGTCAGATTTGGTAAAGACATTAATCTTTTTTCTACAACTTCCTTGGAAATGAGAAGGTGGTGTAGGGAAAATTCAGTTGTACCAAATTTACTAAATTTTACTAAGTTTATTTTAGGTTCAAATTCTACTGAGGCCTTCTCTATAAGCATTTTATAGGTTCTGGTTAATATTTTTAAACTGAACCTTCTTCCACCAGGTTCCAATCTAGTGAACTAATCTTTCATATTTTTTCC